ATAGCCCAAAGTAAGTACTATTTATAGACTTTAGACCCCAAAGTCGATACTATTTGCATACTTGGAGCCCTCGGGTAAAGCCTCTATCCTACGTGCGTTGAATGTGGAGCCCGCCCCGGTGCCAACGCCTCTCCGCTCCAAAGTCATCTCTCAGGCAGATGATGCCTGATTACTATAACGGTTGCGGTTTAGGGTTTAGGGTTTAGGGCTTACTTTCACAGCTACTATCAGGGCTACTGTCAGGGTTCCTAACGAAGTTCTACGATGGGATCTAGAGCTTACGGCTCAAGGGGGCTACTCTGAGGGGCTTTGATGTCTTGAGAAGGGTCCTGATGATAGGCATGCGACGATGGAACTCCAATGTCAGACAAGGGAACCTGAGGAGCCCTGAACCCTAAACCCCAGACCCTACCTGTAGTCTCCATTGTAGTTCCTCTTTTTGGTTTAACCAATTATATATTAAGGCTTTTATAAGGTATCACCAAAAAGGAGCTACAATGGAGACCATAGGTAAATTTCTAAACCCCTACACGCTAAAGCAGGGTTGCGCGTTTGCGCTGAAGGTTCTGGGCTCCAGGTTAAGGTTTCAACCTCCCAGAAAGATGTGGAGGCGAATGGACGGCAGAGTTCTCTCAAGCGGGCCCATCAAATAGCTCTACATCCTGAAAACCGCTAATGAAGCCCTAAACCCTGAAATCCTAAGCCCATCACGTCATAGACATCAAGTAGCGTGAGCTGAAGCGAATCCCCGGACTGTGCCGCTTCAGGGGGGAAATGAAACATGCGAACCTGGCCCCGAGTAGTGAATGATCAAGCTTTTAGGGCTTATAGGGTTTAGGGTGTAGGGCATTAGGGTTTAAGGTCTAGGGTTTAGGGATGAGGGCATGATCAATCAATACGGGGCTCTTTTTGAGGAAATTAATCTAAGTTATAACAGTTGGGAACTTTTGTAAATCATAAAGTTTCCTGATTCTGGTGACTTTAAAGTAAGTTCCGTACCAAGAATTCAGAAAACCGAAAACTGCGGTCAGAAGAATCAACCTGTCGCAGCCAGGTCGCACAGAGCACCAGCCTGCAAACATATCCGGGATTCAAAGCTAGAGCCAGAACTCTTATTACACATGCCTGTACGCCCATTACCTTTATCGTCTTAGTATGATCATATAGCTATCATGCAAGTTGCCCTTTCCTCACATCGGTTGAGGGTTTAGAGCGCAAGGGAATTCGGATTTAGGGGCTTAGATGCTAGGGTTCAGCATCGCTGAATTATGCCAAACTCACGTATAACTACTTCTTTTGCTGATATTGAAGCTACCACGACATAGCAATTAGACGCGCTGACAGTTACACAATACCATAGGTCCTGCATACGGTCTTTGGGTATGCTATAGTACAGTTCTGCTAAGGATAGTAATCACCCATGCTCCTGTAGTGAGCCCTTGTAATCACCCTTATCGCAACGCTTGTAGAACCGTTTAAACAAGCCTCAAAAAAAACTCCATTCTCAGTAACGTCGTTATTGTTGTTGTTGGCATTATGACTGTTATGATTACTTGTGCTCCGAATGTCTGTAAAGTTCTGACCTCTTCTAACTGTCACTAACTATCAGCTCGGTTGAAGATGGCAGCGGAGTTGATGAATCTTGCGATTGCGCACGAACTCCGATCCTAAAGCCTTAGCCCTATATTTTTCATCCTATGGTCTATATTCTCTGCACAGGCATGGCCCCACCTGTGCAGCGGACGCTGGGATGAACACATCCTGGCCTGTAGCGGGAGCCTGATCGTTTGATGGAGTTGCGGCTCAGAGCTTAAGGAACTTTCAGGCATAGGGTGTGGGGTAATCAGGTAAGGGCCCGGGGAACTTAGGTAGACTTTGTACATGCCTGAGACATGTACGGGTGTCATGGCGCTTTCCGAGGGCCGGTACGGTTTTGGAAAGGTATCTCAAGCTTCAAAAAACAAGGAAAGCACAATATTTGCTGCATACCCCTCAACGTACCTTAAGTGAGCCCCAAACCCTAAACCCTAAACCTGAAACCCTAAACCCTAAACCCTAAACCTGAAACCCGAAACCCTAAACCCTAAACCATAACCCGTCTGTGAGGCCAGGGCCCATGGATCTGCGCTGCAGCTTCGCCGCTCAGGCTTTAGGGCTTCACTTGGTTTCTCAGAGAGTTCTACTTTGTTGCTGGTGAGGCACCCTAAACCCTAAACCCTAAACCCTAAACTCCACAAACCCTAAAACCTTAAACCCTAAACCCTGAACCCTAAACCCTAAACCGTGAGGTCCTTTTGGTTCGGGTTAGAGGACCTAAGTTATGCGTGCCCTCTGGGCCTCTGCTAGCTCCGGAAAGGGGTTTAGGGTTTAGGGTTTTTAGGGTATAGAGTTTAGGGTTTGAACCGATGAATCTCTGATCATGATAAACAAAACCAGCAAAATCAACCCTGAACCCTGAGCCCTAAACCAAAAACACTAAACATCACCAAACCCTATAACCCTAAACCCTAAGCCCCAAACCCTAACTAAACCCCGAAACCTATAACCCTAAATCCTACACTCTAAACCCTAAACCCTAAAAGCCCTAAACTCTAAATCCTACACTCTAAAGCCCTAGCGAATTAAAGGCAAGCAGCGTAGAGCCCACAGCAGTCGACCCAGGGGCCTCGAGAAGTTGGTAACAATCCTAGGGTTTAGGGCTTAGGGCTTTAGGGTTTAGGGTTTATAAGGGTTTATAAGGGTTTTAGGGTT